TATGAGTGTTCACTGAATGGTTAAGCTTTTGGGAGAAGAAGGAAAGGCTTCCAGGACTCAAGGCTTCAAAGAAGTAGGGAACGTTTGTCCTGAGATTAGAAGACCTGAGGGAACAGGAAGAAGCCCATGGTTTAAGTTACCCCTATTCTCTCCTACTTAAAGGCAGGCATCTGCTATCCTGGATGTGGAGCCTGGGGATGGATATAGTGGGAATAGAAGAGTGTCGAAGGTCTGAACCTCTCTCTACACTCAGAATTAGTGATACTGAGGGTTCAGGGAAAACAGTGATATCAGACCCCACCATACACTCTCAAGACCTTGTATGATTCTGAGAATGTGTCAGTTGTCACTGAAGAGTATAAGTAATGCTGTTCCTGAGAGTCATTATTTTCTGATTGTTAAGAAGTTGTTTAGGTTGATAAAGTCATATCCAAATGTCCAATATGCCTTTCTGATGTATATAAGTAAATGAATTCTCATATATTCCATTAATGACAGTGACAGCTGTGCTGAATGTAATTCCACTTCCTTGTACTAAAATTTACTCACAACATCAATCTAAAAGGAGAGTCAGTCTTAACATTATTATTTCCTTTTTCAGACAAACGGACACTTACCTGGGAATGGAGATGTATATCAAGAAAGGCTAGCTCGCTTAGAAAACGATAAAGAATCCCTTGTTCTTCAGGCAAGTAATTTTAAATGTTACTTTTCTCATGATGTACAGTTGGCCCTCCAAACTTTGGATCAAAAATATTTGGAAAAATTGAAGCTGTTCTAAACATGTACAGACTTTTTTTTTTCCTTGTCATTATTTCCTAAACAATATATATGACAACTGTTTACATAGCATTTACATTGTGTTAGGTAATTAGAGGTGATTTAAAGCATATGGGAGGATGTTCATAGACCATATTTAATACTATGCTGTTTTATATAAGGATTTGAGCTTCTACAGATTTGGTATTTGCAGGGATGCTGGAACAAATCCCACACAGATACCAAGGGAAGCCTGTACTTACAAGATGATTTTAAATTGAGATGGTCAGTTCAGATACTTACAACAACAAGGTTGCTAAATAAAAATGCAGTAGACCATCCGTACACACTAGGAAGTAGTGAGGATGGTGGTGGAGTGTGTATCCACCCTAGAGGGAGCAGTTCTTAGCCTCAGCCCTTCAAGGCCAGTCTGAATACAAGCTCACTATCATCTGATCTGACTTTCTAATATCATCCATCATTTGATCTGATGTTTTAATATGTAACAGAAATTCAAATATATAGCTGTAGTATAAAAATATCAATGTTATAATTTCTGAATATGAATATATGTATAATTTTTCTATTTATAAAATGATACCATGGGTCAAACAGAACACAACAGTGAGTGGAATCCTGCTTGTAGACTAAATTTACTTACTTCCTCATAGTGTTTGGACAAGTAATTTTTACTTTGGTATTTTGACTAAATGAATATTTATTATATTATTATATTTATTAGGCTGATGATCAGTGAGGAAAAACATGTAGATCTCAATAAGTACTAAGGATGAAGGAGTAAGCCTACAGTTTCTTGTGGATCTTTGAATATGTTTCATTGTACCCTGGGTGATTGTTTGTTTGTTTGTTTGTTTTTTAATACTTGGACTTGAACCAGGGCTTTATGCATGCTAAGCACATTCTCTAGCATTGAGCTACACCCCTAGCTCTGCATCTTGGCTTTGAATACATTTGCAGTCAGTGTGATCTTGAAAGATATTGTGGAATTTAAATTCCCTGGGTTCTTTTCCTTATTCTTCAAGCATCATATTTGAATACTCCTTGACAATATCTGCTTCAAATATTAACTTCATTTCCTCTCTTC